TCCTTCGTTCAATGTCAGTTATATGATCACATCCAAAGGAGGGCGCTTCTTCAAAAGATAATCTCGCAAACCGCTAAGTACCCCATTATTGTAGACATATGACAGACTAAGATATCAGTACCTACAAAGAACGTATAGCGGAAATTAATTAGCACGTCTAAAACTACGACTTCAGTGATCTTAATATTTATAGGGGAGTCTAATGCCGTGGTCCTCAGTTAAGCTAAGTAAATTTATACACAGGCACAGAGGGATGGTTAGTATATAAAGCCCTCAGATTTTTGCAAGTAAAATGAAATCTGTTTTTATTGTCTGATGATTGCGAACCTATGTCTAATAAACACTTAAATTACTAACATGTTCAGAATTATGCAGACACACACGCCATGAGGTAAACAGATGACGCCCACACAACAAAAATTATACCTACATACGGCATTAAAAGGACGTATAAGAAACCAAGTAAAAATAGTATTTCAAATTCGGAAAAAAAAACTTGCAAAAATGTTTTTAATGAAGGCAAATAAGTACTTAAGCATGTAAAATTTATGAAAGTTTTCCTAATTGTTTATTATTACATTCTTTTCCATATTATATGCATGTATGCGTTTGTGTGTGTGCTCTCACACTGAACAATTTACATCATATATTGAACCTGGTTTTCATATAATACACACAATTCTAAACATTGAAAAGCCATTGACAAATCTTCCAGAAAAAGGTCTTTTCTTCTATGAATAAAATAAAATAGGTGTGGCTGTAATATGATAGAAGCGGCGAAAAAAAAAAAAGTAGGCGCGAACATGTTCCGTTGATTTTAACTGAAAGATAAAACGGGAATGAAAAAAGAAATGTTAAAGAATTTTAAAAAGGGAGAACAGAAAAAAATATGAAGAAATAGAAAATTGTCAGGTAAATGTGAAAATGAGGATTTCGAGAAAGAACAAATTCAAAAACAGTTTTCAAAATCAAAGAATAATGAAAAGGGACAAGTCAAGAATTTCATATGATGAAAAATCATCACTTCACATAAACAATATAGAAAGATAAACAACATTCACATCTGTAATTTTAGGTCTGAAGATAAGACACCTTGCAGGTCAAATTTCTTAAACATTTATTTTGAAATCGGAATAAACGAAAGCTAAAAAACGTTAAGATAAAAAAGACGCAATGATAAAAAAAAAACAGAATAAGGTGTAAAACAAAAAAAAACACGAAATAGGAATAAAAGGGAGGAAGAAAGAGACGAATGTTGATATGGGATACAAGAAATAGAGCTGAAATGACTGCAAAAACTATAAGGTAAGACAAAAAATTTATAAAAATGCTTTATGAACATATGTAAATATTAAAGTTGATTGTCATAATTAAAGGCAAAGAAATGAGGAGAAAATGAAGAGGAATCAGAATTGACGAATGACAGAAGACATTTAAACGAATGTAGAAATAATGAAAGTAAAATCAGGAGAAAAGGAAAATGAGTCGGACATCTGGAGGAAGATTTAGGGGTTATAGTCGAATAAATGAAAGAAGGAAGAAAGAATAAAAATTTAGTGAAAGAGGTAGATTATTAAAAACGCGAGAACAAAATCTGGCAAAAATAAACTTGAGAAAAGCACAAAACAATAAAAAGTAAACAAAACGGAATGCAAAGGAGATTTATAAGAAACGCGGCGAAATTTTAGATTTTTATATATATAAATATGCGGCAATAAAGTATACGCTCTCACACTGCCCCCCATTTTAAAAAAAAAAAAAAAAAAAAAAAAAATCAATAAAATAAATAAAAACATGGGAACACTTGTAGTAATGGGTAATTGAAGAGAGGAATGGAAGGAAGAATTTTTCTCGAAGGAGAAAATGGATGACATCTGAACAAAAAAATGCAGACAATTGTCTCCTCAATAAATCTCGAAAATCGTCGGTCATTTTGTTCTGTTCTTGGTCAGATAAGTTCGAAAACTAAATAGCTGCCGACAAAAAAAAAATTCTTTAAGCGACTTCTTTCATTTCACCATCTGAACTTTCCCACAGAAGAAAAAAAATGTTCTTTTTTTCCCTTCTCTTAGGCCTCCAGATAAATTTTAGGCAACTGCGTTTTCAATTTTTTAACTATTTTTTCTTAAACATCCTTTTTTCCCCAATGGAACCAGATTTTATTTTCTTCCTATTCTTACAAAACCTTGTGCGTTCTTTCCGCCCGCGTTCTTTCTTAGCCAACCACATGGCATTAATGGATCATGACGCCAAAAATATGCACAGCTCTGAGGTTACTGCAAACGATAGCAATGCCCATGTTTTTTTAAAAGCCTGACAGCATACTGGAAACTTCCTTGCAACTTCTGCATTAAGATCACCGGTGAATGATAAATTTCAAACAGAACGAGATTAAGGAGAACATATTGAAACAGCTGAAATGATGTCGATAGTAAACTTTTCAAACAACAAAAAAAATGAAAAGAATGCCGGCATAAATGGTTTGTCCCTAGGGAAGCATTTCAAAAAACACTGAAACGTCATTAGCCTAGGTAAACTACTCTTTTGTTAATATTAAACGGAAAGTTCTGATAGAGATCGAATATCTCAGACTTCTTTAATTGTGCCTTTATGGTATTCTCCGTGTTTTTTTAGTCCTATCAATAAAGGTTCGTTCCTCACATTTCTTCAAAACCCCAAAATAGTAATTATATAGCCAGAATGCGAAGGCCAGGCTAAGGTCAGCAATTGGATAGTCTTTTTCTGGGTTTTGGTATGTCGAAAACGGCGCGAATTCAACAGAGGGCCGCAAGAATTTTGAAGCATTGATACGCTTCCAACACGTAGGTTCGTGAGACAGGCTGTAACCCCACGCGGACGGACGATAAGCCTTCCTCCCGATGACTTTTAGAATCTAAACCTACCAAGTCTCCGTTAATAAAAATTAGAAAGAAAATGAAATCCTCTTGTGGTTAATACCATATATTCAGTAGCGTTGGGACCCAGTGATGACACGGAACGCAACATTTAGTGGAACTAGAAGAGATTTACTTCCCCGAATTCATGAATATAAGCTCAGTACTAGATTGGCAGTTAAGTCTCATTGTTTTGCTAGTGGAATCGCTAGATTTAACCGCAAGTTCTATGCTAAAATTTTCTTCTTTTGCACTTCGCGGCTGTGGAACTCTTTTGACTTCCTGTCTACTAAGATCTTCAAAAGATTTACATGAAACGTCAAATGTTATCTTCCGTCTCCTTGAATCCTCTTTTTATTGTTCTTTCTCCTTAGTAACTATTGCTCAGTTTCTTTTACTCAGTAACCCCTTGAACCTAGTGTCTTTGTCACCTTGTTTTGGTTGAAATGGTTAAAAGAAAAGTCAGAATATATCATTGGTTACAAGGTACAAAGAAAAACCAGTGATCTTTTATTTGATACATAATAAATTTTAAAGTAATTCCTGATTATAACCATAGAATTCCGTGAGTGGCATATATAGAAAGAAAAAAAACAATTTGTGTCACTAAGATAATTATAAAGAAATATTACAAATCTGGAAAGACATCTTTGAGGAAGATTTATTTATTTACATTTCGTCAGTTAATATTTATAAATCTACTAAATATGTGAAATTTTATCATGATTAGAGCAAAGTTTATCGTCAACGCACTTGTCATTAACAGGAATATCAATCTATGACTAAAAATATTTTAATTGAAAATTTTGTTAATGTAAAAAGGTTACCGATCGGGCGGCTGACAGAAGTAATCACCTGTAAGAACTAAACAGACATAAAGCATTGAAAAATTCAAATAAAATATCACTTCGAAGTATAAGCATCATATGTTACCGTAAATGGTACTTGTTTATTTCGTGCTTCAATGAAGCGATCAGCATTGTCGTGCATATGAGATTTATATGTAACTAAAAGCTGACATGCAAAAACCGTCGTGTCTAGAATGCATTCCCTGATATTTGACATCTTTTATGATTTCTGCTTTGTATGACCAGTTGGAGAAGAAAAGAAAAGCAGTAAATCCTTGCATAAAGGATTCCCCTATGTACACAGATCATTTCTTGACCCAAAACACTATCGTTTCTACGATAAAGACGAAATGGAAATTTGAGAATGTTTACTGGCAATATGATGAAGTGACATTAACCGGAGGAAAGACTTTGATAGATAATATTCCTATAGAAAACTGAGCCGCTGTTGCTTTCCCATTTCATCAAGGTCAAAACATAACTGGTTTCATTTCAATTACAAAAAGAGATAAACATGTTTTATGATGTCAAAGAATACTCGTTGTCACTTTCGTAATGCTCGTTGTAGTAGAGACTTTGTAATCTTAGATACAACTATAAGAGAGTAAAAGAGGATAGTCTAGAAATGACGATCGTTAGTCGTCAGCTACTTCCAACACAAATGCGTCCCCTCTATGGTCACGTGCTCTACTTAATTCAATAATAGGATCGCCTATGTTTACTCACTGGCTATCTATGTTCAAACTCGAGTATCAGCAGAGACACTTTATTCCTATATAAGAAAATGTTACCTACCTTCAGTCGAGTAGACACACACATACAGACATTATATATATATATATATATATATATATATATATATATATATATATATATATAATCCTGCAAAACAACGACCTAAGGACAAAATTAAAACCCGGAACTAACACATCCTTAGAAGAAACTCAAACTAATACATACAGCGAAAGGCAAAATACGAAGTATTTGAAAAAGTACTTGGTTGAGCAATTGATTTGGGTTTTTAAGTGAAACTTTTGCAGACTAAGGAAAGAAATTATTTTAGATTGTAAAAAATTTTGGGAGACAATAATAATTTACTGATACAAATCCTAAAAATTAATCCATGGCTGGGGAGGGGAGGAAGAAGAGGTGGAATTCTACCTTTCCCAAGGGTATTTGTTCGTAAGTGAATATAAAAACCCGACAGAAATTAGAACTTGTGTCTCTAATTTCCAAAGTATCCATCACACCCACTCACATCCAGGATGTTCACCCATCTCGGTACTGACCAAGTTCGATGTTGCTTAACTTTGGGGATCGCACGAGAACCAGTGCTTCAACGTGATATGTCCGTAAGCCTGAATGAAACTTGATTATTGTGGTAAGCAACTTTCACTGGGAAACATTAATCGGAATTTAGATCCATCAAATAGTGCTACCAATATTCTGCCGTTGTGATAGACGAAATTTTGCTAAGTAAATATTGCATGTATGCAAACATTTCATTCCACTCTTATGAGAAAAATGAAAGATTGAACCCATAGTAGTAAACTCAATTAAAAACTCCGTGAAACTTAAACACAAACAATGTTTAAAAT